ATACATCTTTAGGCTCCCGAAGTAATACTGTGCCGAATCCACATTTAAAATTATTACAACAGATGGTCAAATTAAATACCATCCAGCATATATGATGAAAGATTATGAATATGAGAGGATGGTAGACTTTAATGAAAACAAAAATTAGCAAAACTTTCTGGGGATATATAAAAAACAACACATTGTCTGGGTCTAATATATATTAAACCCCAATATTTAAATTTTCTGAAAATATTTGTATATATATAATCGTTCGTGCGGTTCACGGTTCACTGAGCGAGTTGTGCAATGTTTTGAAATGCAGAAGTATGTGATTATTCTTTATCTTAATTGTATTATATATATGAACAATTTAATATCTTTTAAAATTAGTTGAATATTTAACATAATATTTTACCACAAGAAAAAAGAACAACATATTTTAAAAAATATATATTTTTATATACATTTATATATATATATAATTATTTTACATTAGCATTAATGATAAAAAAGGCACTTATATTATAATTCAAATACTATAATTATTGAATTATATAATATAGAAAATGAAATAACCTAATAATAAAAGCTATTAATAACAATTAATATCAAAGGTACTCATCAATTCAAATAAATATGATAATTTGGCTCAATAATATTCTATAATACATCATCACAAAGCATTCAAAATTTATATTGTTTGAGAATTAATTGGTCAAATTGTTTTGCATTGTTTTAAATATAGGCACATTTTGCCAAAATAAACCTAAAAATCAGAACAAGAAATGCTATATGAATTATAAGTAAACAAAATTAATTTGTTTAATGTGCAGATGAACTAAAAAGTTGCTTTTTTTTTTGCAATGATGGTAGAATTAGTCTTATAATATAACATGCACTCAAAACATGTAATAATAAAGTTAAATAAATTTGATCCATTATTTTTCTGTGCATGAGAAATTATTATTGTTTTTTAGTGGACAAATTGATAAAAAATGTGTTTTGATCACAGTATCCTTGTTTTCCTTAATAAACTTATTTTATACACTCAACTTATTTATTAACTTACATAAGTTAGTCATCCGGTTTCAATATATGATTCTGCATTAAAAATGGTTGGCACTTTAAAGGTCTCAAAGGCTGGTAAACTCCCTTTTGAATAGGATCTGAATTAGATTCTAAATGCTCAGAGTATTGAGGTTTGATTTCTGCACTGACATTAGATTGTGGCTTGGGCATTGGTGGTTTATTAGTATTACAATCCATTTGTCTATTTCTAAACTTTGTAGAATATTTATAAAAATCTGACATCTCAAAAGGTTTTGATACTTCTTTATAAGGGCACCACGTTCCTGGGGATACAACTTCTATATTTTTTGGCGATTCCACAGGAACCGTTCTTGGTGATAAAAATTGCTTAGTTGGTTGTTCATTAACAGTTTTTAGGTGGAAGAGAATTTAAATGTTTTCTTTGGGCGATTTTGGAAAGATGTCACCATTACCTTCGTAATACTGTTGTGTTGGAGAAGGCATGGCTGGTTTTGCTGTTGCTGTCGCTGTTTGTGCTTGATTTACATTTAAAGGTATGAATTTAGGAGAAGGCCTTGGAGGTTCTGTATATACAAAATTCTTTTCATATAAACCATCAATTTGATTTGGTAATGCACTCTGAAGATATTGTGGGTCCACATAATCATAATTATATTTACCATGTACTGAACTTCTAAAATTATCGTTATAATTTGCATTAATAGGAACATCATATGGATGGCTGATTGTTTTCGCTCTCTGTTTCACTGGTGAAATAGGCTGTTCATCTAATGATGTTTCATGCCACTGTTTTCTTTTAGAGTGTTACCACTGTTATGAGAACCAACAGATATATTGTCAGTAACATCTTCAGCCATTTTTAATTCTCCGATAGAATGTGAACGATTAGAATTTTTAATTTTTTGATTTGCTCTAATATTTTCATTTGCCATAGGGGATATATTAATTTTTCGGCGGTCTAAACTACCAAATAAATTCCTTTCCGACTGATGATTGACATTATAAGAAGGTTTATTTTTAATTTGCATTGTTTTTGAGGCCATGTTTTGTTCAAAGAAAAATTCAGAATTATGGTTTACAGGTTCATCAAAGTGATTTTGATAATGATCCTTTCTGGGATATGTAAAAAATGAATCTGATGCAATTGTATTTCTATAGTCTGAAATTTGATTTTGTAATTGGTCTACATATCCCACTTGTTGATTATCTATATTATATTTTGACAAACTTAATTGATCTCGTTTTACTGAATGATCATCAACTGGTGGTCTAGGCTTTTTTCTATACTTGTTTGGTAAATGTATATTTGGTTTATTATTCATATAATAGTTATGAGCCACAATATTGTCTTCGATATTAGATATTTGAGGTTCATTATTTTGCATTACATAACGCATATCACCATGACTATAATGAGTATATCTATTAATATCTTTAAAAGAGCTAGTATTATGATCAGCATGCTGCAAATAATAGTTATCGGGAATGAATTCAGAATGCCTGTTGCTTGTGCTTTGGTGACTATTGTGACGTATGATTGGTGATGTATTGAAATTTTCTTCTGCCGAAGTACTATGTTGTAGGTCAACTTCCAGAGAACTACTTTTAGGAATTTGTGATATTCTCCTGGTCAGAGTTTCATTTATGCCAGCAAGTTTTTCTTGAGACTGTTTATACATATGTCTGTGTTTCCTGCGCACAGCTTTATTATTAGATAAGTTATTTGCCATGTGAAGAGCTGCTTCTGCAATGCTCGTTTGTACTTGTTTCTCAAGAAGTAATTTTCGAACTTCATCATCTTCATTGCTTATGCTGCCACATAGTAAATTTTCTGATAACTTAAACCCAGTTTCGACTTTACGACGTAAAGTTAAATTTACATTGGCATCGTTTAAATAATTCGTATCTGGCGGAGCCTCTGGCACTTCTTCTGGCGTTTCAGAAGGTATGACACCAGTTATGTCAGCCTCTTGTAGGCAAAGTCTTCTTAACAACTCATTTTTTTCTTGTAATAATAAAGTTAAAGCCTTTTTCCGTTGCTGTAAATACATAATGCGATCTTCATTACTGTTACTGTCATTTTCCATTTTCATTGATATCAATTATTGCAAAGTTATTTTTAATTTTTACGTGGCAGACAAATCTAAGCTAATATGGATCATCTAAGATAAAAAATTCTTTTGCTCAGCATAAACTATAATAAATCTGAATATATATAGTAAACAACTATTATAAAATAATTAGCATCATTAATAAAAAGAAGTTAATCATTAATAAAAAATAAACAAAACCGAAACTAAACCAAAACAAGACATTAAATAAAATAGTATTGCCCGATGAGAGATTAAAGGTAATAAGAGATAGAAAGGAGGCGAAACTAAAATTTATTCTGTGATTTATCTTCTTGATTAATTATATCATATGATAAATATCACTTCTATTTGTTATTGTTATTAATAATATTTATTACTTTTCAATATAATGCATAATTTCATTAGTTATTTAAACAACGCGTTTTTCAGTTTGACATTAAACAAACCGTCCCTAGACAACCAACAAAACTTTTTGAATCTAGAGGCTTTTTTGTAACATATGATTTATTTTTTGAATTAACCTTAACTGATATCAAATATTAAAGCAAAATTCTGCAAATAATACATATGTAATGTGTAATACAAAATTCTTGCAGTAGTCGTGGCATTATTGAATTTTGAATTCGTGGTCGATTGAATGATTGAAACATAGATAAAAGAAGAGTATGGATTGAATCGTATTATACTTTGACAAGATTATATCGTATCTTGTCTTTACTCTTTACAATATAATAATCAAACTAATCATACTCTTTTTTATCTGGATAATAATTACTTTTCAGTTTTTAGTCCTCTCTTGTAATTTGTAATCTTGTATGTTAATCAAAATGGATAAGTGTGACCTGATTGATCATGTAATAGAAATTAGAATGTTTAGTCTCGCAGATGTTTTTTTATTTTTAGTATGCAAAATAATAAGTTTTGACAATAATTTTTAAAATATGTCATATATTTAAAATCAAAATTTCATAAAGTGCCACAGATATATACATTCGTTTCATATTTAATTTAGTAAAATTGCTTGCTATTTATAGACAAAATACAATTATAGCATTATCATCGCCGTCATGCCACAAACATTTCTAAAATAGAAGTCAAAAATAAATTAAGCACAAGCATGATCGTTGACATTATTTCACAAATTAAAAATAATTTATTCATAAGTATGTGACCTATGCACTTCACCTTGAACATTATTCCTTCGTTTATTGTGCAATCAAATATTCTTAAACAATATAAACCAAATGGCTACTAAGAGGAAACCAATTCATTCGAGCCCGCGGATGAATTTTCGGCCAAATATTGGTGAAAATGCAGAAGCCAAAGGAACAAAACCAACAGCACCTCCAACTTCTATGTCTGAAGTGTTAAATTTAATAATATTACATCAGTGTAGAAGAGTTATATTTTATAATGTGAATCTTAAAGTTGGTATATACTTAGCAGCAGTGTTCATTATTTCTTTAATAACGGATCATGCTTCAATACCAAGGACCTACTTCTCTAGGTCTAATAATATTTTTAACTTATATTTCGTTAAAATAGGCTGGCTGTGGACATTGTTACTAACAGTACCCTTTATACTCTTAACCGCATATACTTATTGTTGTGGTAATAGAAAACAAATAATGAAGAATCACTTATTAAGACTTGGCATAGCCACTGTATTCTGGCTGTTTTTTACCAAATCTTTTAATTACATTGAAGTACAATATGGATATTGCAAAGTAAAAGGTTTCCTTACAAAGTCTACATGTTTAAGGAGTGGGCACGTTTGGAATGGATTTGATATAAGTGGACACACATTTTTACTTATATATTCCAGTTTAATACTTATGGAAGAAGCTAAAGCGATTATTGGCTGGGAAAGTATTAGAGATCATATTAGAAATGAGGAACATTTCAGAGCGCAGCAACAACTTCAAGTAAGCTCAAATCCACTGAGATATTTGAATGATAATGAGCTCTACACCTTAAAAACATCGTATAATAAAGTAACACCTTATATCCGATTATTGTTCATATCAATGACAATGTTACTTGTACTATGGGATGTAATGTTAGTTTCCACAATGCTTTATTTCCATATAATGATTGAAAAATTTGTGGCAGCGTGTCTGGCTATTTTGGTATGGTATTTTACTTACAGATATTGGTTTGCGCAAACCAAATTGCTACCATCCATGCCAGGAAATGGTGCATTCAAGTATCAACAAATTAAAAAACAAATGCCTACGGTAAATAGAAAAGCGTCGATGACAAATTCTTCAAATGGTAAGGCTATTCCTAAATTTATGGGAATGCCATTATATGTACCAAGAAACATTGACGATAAATGTAACAATAGTACAAATGAATTAAATGTGCAATAGTAAAGGAAAGATATAATATTAAAATAAATGGTGGAGTTATACATGACAATTACTTTTTAAAAGACATTGTGTGTGTACTTTTAATACGGGAATAGTTATAATATATTTTTGTTATTTAATAAATTATTTAGATGGTTATACAATATTTCAAAAAAATGAAGACTATTAATATCAAGATCTATTTATTGAAATATATTCTTTATCTTACAATTGTGTGTTTTTTACATTTTTTGTAAATTATATTGTATTTTACATATTTTGTAAATTTTGTAGTATGTATATATATGTATATATATATATATATATATATATATATATATATATATATATATATATACGAGTATATATATATATATATATATATATATATATGTATATATGCTAATTAAAAGCACATCCAAATGTAATTTTAAGCTTTTTTTTATTAAATTTACATCTTAAACATTTTTGTTATAAAAACAAATATTTTTTCTGCTATTTCTCTTCAATATTCATGTTTAACAATATAGATACTACAGTAATGTTTTATCAAAAATATGAGAACTGCAATAGTCATATTATAATCATATTGATGAGAAATATCTCAAAGACATAATAACTATAAGTAGTGCGTTAAATACAGCAGTCAACACAAAGTTCAACTAAATGTTACATTTTAAGTTCTTATTCATAATTTTTTTTAACGTCGGAAGAAGTTTGTTTTTGGAAGAAAATCTGATTTACTAATTTTTATAAATTCTCGACGTTTCAGACGAATGAGACTAAAGTATGTTTGTGTATGTGTGAACCGATATTTGCCCTTTCGTAGAACTTTTCTCAAAAACTGCTGAACCGATTTCGAAGATTTAAAAACCATTCGATGTAACTTGATGAGAACTCGCGTTGGTTAGATTTTTGATACGATCGACTGAGCTGTTTCTTTAGAATTAGCAGATACACCTAAGTCTGTTTTTACACGGTCTTTTTGTACACGGTTTTGATATAACACGGTTTGAAAATTGAATATTTTTAATTTTTTTACACGAATTTATTCCATTTAGCACGATTTGAAATTTTATGTACCTAATTTTTTTTTTGTCAAATTAAATTTTTGCGAAGTATGTTCATATCACAAAAAAGTATTTATGAAAGAAAAAAGTCTGAAACCATCGATAGTATCGATAGTTTGCGAACAACTAGCTTAAAGATTTGTGAATTCCCCTTTAGCGCGTACAAACAATTTTTACTGGTCTAAGCAAATGTGAATAGCACTAATTTAATTTTTGTTCTTAAAAATTCTTGTTTTTCACCAATTTTAATAGGTTTTAGAGATTAGGAACAAATCACCCATTTTTGTATAAGATCAATTTCTTTTTTTACACGGCTTCTTCTGGAACCAATCTCCGTGTAAAAACAGACTTAGGTGTAATTGCAAATTTTTTCGTTCACATTTTAGTCAAAAATTCTGAACCGATTTTCAAATTAAAAAACTATTCGAAAGATATTATTTGGGTTTTGACAAAGATCGGCGAAATCCTTTCTTCGTAATTGATTGCTAAAAATTCTTTTTTCGACAATTTTAATGAATCTTTGTATGACGATATATCGGCTATATATAGACTACTTTATCTTAACGAAGATACTAAAATATTATAGTCCTACGAAAAGTATAGTTAACTATATATTAAATTTAATATGAGTTAATTATATATAAATATATAATATATATATATATATATATATATATATATATAAATAATTTAAATTTGAATAATTAAAATTTGGATAATTTGGCCTTAGTGTTAGAATTTTTTCCGTGTAATAAAAAAAAAAATCAAAATTGAATAATCTGCAATAGTTTCTCACATTATAATACGCCCTACACTAACTCGGTTTACGTATAAATTTATATGTTCATTTCTTATGGATCAAGTCGATTATTACTACATGTACATTTAAATGTACATTTCGAGGAGTTTGTTGTTTGTTTGTCATGCGGTTTGTTTAAGGTGCACTGTAGAGTTTTTGGCTAGAGTCGCTCTAGCGAGAGCACTAATAGGGCGCTCTATGTAAAGTCCCATCGTGTACACAGCTACTAGAGCAAGGGCGAGCAACCTTTTCAACCCACGGGCCATTTTAAAATTTCATGGCGGGCCGCACGTAATTTATATATATACTAGCCGACCCGGATACGATTTGCCACGGGAAATATTTTTAGAAAATCATTAGTATAAAAAATGGCTAACTAATTCTGATTGTATAAATATGTAGTATATAAATGAAAGAGGCAACTAACACAAATTACATTGATAAATTACCCAACGCAACGCTAAATTATGATAACACTCAAAAAAAATCCAATTTTCTTTTAAAAGCAGTTTTATCTTCAGATTTTAATATTCAATTTCAAAATTTTTATTGCTAAAATTGTTCCTTTTGCAGGGCATTCAAAAACTAGGTACTTTTTAAGCACATCGAGAAATATTTGTACAATAGGATAAGCCTGCAAATCAGTTAGTTTTATCGAAGGTAACCATTTCGTTGCCAATATCTAAGAATTGTTTTTAAAATGTTGCAGCGGATAGAGCGGATAAATTTAAGCTTTTCTAAAAGCTCAGAAAAGTCTTGATCGAATATCTATTATAAACGTTCACAAAAAAGGCGATAATTGTTAATTGATCAATTATCGTGCTAAAATGACTATTATGAAATAAGAGAGTGAAATTTAGAGTTGTATGTAGTTTTCCATTCCGCATTAAAAAAATTAAAATAAAGAACAAAATTTAAATAAATTGTTACGGTTGTACAACCCATAAAAAATAAATTTGAATAAAATTGAAAATTTTTTATAAACTCAAAAGTCTGAAATAAAATTAGGTCAAAAAGATTCATTGACTGAGCGCGGAAATAATGTAATTGCAACAAAATTACAAAATTGCAACAAAAAAAAAGAACAAAATATACAAAGATGAAAAAAGTATATATTTTATATAATTACGAGTGTATATGCAAAATGAAAACAAATAATAGTTGAACAGAAAAACTAATTTTCTTGAAAACTTTAATGAAAAATTTGGCACTGCTTTTTTATATAAGCTGATCGATATCAGCCGTTTTTTTAAACCTTGTTCTTTAACTTTTTTAATGCGGAAAGTAGCAACGTGTATGCAGCTTTGATATGTTTCACTCAATTTTAATCGGTGGATGGATCGAAATTACCACAGATCCACGAAAAAAGTTGTCTAGATTGGGTGTGTATGTTTTACAATGTACCATTTACTTCTGAAGATAAATCTAGATTTACTTTATTTTATTTACTTTACTATAGATCTATAGTCAAAATTGGGACGCAAAATATATAAAAACTGGCACAATCAATCTATAAATTTTTCTAAATGAATGAATTATTTTCCATCGACTTTTTTTTTGTGGACCTGTGCAATTGTTCGCATACATACCTACTTCTAAAAAAAGAATTTACATAAATTTCTTTGCGTTTTTTTCATCAAACGCAAAAATTTCTCAGAGCTGACAAGAAAACAGCTTTGTTGCTAGCTTTGAACATTTGGAATCACAATTAAAATTTGTTCACATTTCCTTTTTCTAAACATGGAAAGTGAAACACAAGATGATGCAGAAGATATTATTCTTCAATGTCAAAATGACGAAAGTACTATAATTATCGCCATATACAGGCTTTAAATTGTTCAAGAATTTAACCCTCGCGACTTTATAAAACATACTTATTTAATTATTTTAAATTTGGAAATGCGTTATTGCTATGTTCTCGGACAAGTTCTCAATTTTTCTTGCAATATTGTTAAACTAATATTTAAGTTAATATTTGTTTTATCAGGAAATGCTGAAAATTTTTGCGAACAACAGTTTTTACCAGTATTTGACTGACAACAAAATCAGCCTTTACAGCCGTATTTTATAAAATATCTAGAAAAATAGTCTGTAGTTGAGAAACGCTCGGCGGCCGCAGAAAAACATCCGGCGGGCCGCGGGTTGCTCTTCCTTGTACTAGAGCACTCTAGCGAGAGACAAATGATATTCAGTGTACACAGGGTCTCTGCACAACTTCCACGCTCTAGCTATTACCTCTAGCATTATTCAACTTGTTGGATATTTTTTTGTACTATACGTAGAGTTTTTTTGTTTTGCTTTGCATTGATGGTTTGTTTATTTGTATTTCCAAGAAAAGTTGTTTTTTTGATTTTGGAAAATGGAAGCATTATGTGATGAAGAACAGTGCGAAAAGTTTGTTTGGGAAAAAAATAAAGTGTATCAATTAATTGAATTGGTAGAGGCTCGCCCATAATTGTGGAATGTCCGGTTGAAGGAGTATAGGAATCGAAACCTGAAATATAAATCTTTGGAAACAATAGCAACGTTTTTAAATTTGGGTGTTAAAACAGTAAAGGACAAAATTCATAATTTGAGATGCCAGTTAAATGAACATTTGAGAAAAATGAAAAAGTTAAAAACTGGTCAGGGTGCAAATGAAAGGTATAAACCGAAGTGGGAGTTTTTTGAGGCTGTCAAGTTTATGAATATCCAGACAAAATCAACAGAGGATTCAATTGGCTGTGTTGGCAGTGCCCCCGATGATGTTATTAATACAGATGTGCTGGTAAGTAAAATAAAGTTAATTCATATTGTGATTTAAAATTTTTATTGTAGGATACTTATATAAATTTATAATCAGCATTAATAACTAGAGCCATTAATGCAATACTATGTGTCCCCTTGTAATTATAATATAAACTTCCTGAATCTTCTGGTGCCTTCATTACCACATGTTTTCCACCAATAGCTCCTATGCGATTTGGGTAGTTCCAGGTAACACCAAATCGCTGTGCTTCATTTTCCCACTCCTCTGATGTACAAGGAATCTGTAAAAACGAGAACAAAAACATTTAATTTTCATTTATTGTTTTAATTTTTTCTAGGACCATGATGAGGAAATAAAAGATAATTCAGATTACGCACAGACGCCGCAGGAAGTAGACAATCAT